AGGCGGGTGAGAAATTTAATAAATAAATAAATAAATAAAGTTGGATTCAATTCTTAAAGGTTATATATAGTTTGTCCTCAGTAACACTATTTTTTCTTATAAATCTATATTCTAGAAAGGGCAGTGCATTGATGTTCTTATCTGTTGCATTTTATACAGGGTATCCCAAAAGTCGTAGTGCAGTTTTAATCTTTTAGAAATTAAAACTCCACTAAGACTTTTGGGACATTCTGTATATCCCATATATCCCATAAAAAGCCAATATTTGAAGGTGACTATTAAATGTGCTTGCTTGTTCTGTGTATAGTTTTTTGAGGAAGCCCAGTCTACTGAAAACTACTTGAAGAACTTACAGGATGCCATCAGAAAAAAGTTCATCTGTGATAAAAACATGTCCTTGCAAGTTCTGCTGGAACAGATCAAAGAATTAGAGGTATGGATGCAACGTCTCTTACTGTACCACAAGTTCTCCTAGGCTCAGCAGGCTATACAGGTAGTCTTCAGCTTACAATAGCAATTGGGATTTACATCACTAAGCAATGCGGTCGTAAAGCATGACCACATTGCTCAGTGACTGCCATCCCTGCAGTCCCAATTGCTGTCATTAACCAAATCCCATGGTTGTTAGGTGAGGCAATTTCCTGCCGGCTTCCCATAACCAAAGTCAGTGGGGAAGCCAGCCGGAAGTTGCAAGTCCTAGGCCAGCAGGCAGGTAAGTAGCTGCTGTCAGGTGGAGGAGGGAGCAAGAGGGTGTGTGAGGGAGGGTCGGGGAGAGTGCACGAGAGTGTGAGGGAGGATGTGCGACGGTGCAAGGGAGTCTGCGAGAGGCACAGCGTGGGTTGGGAGGTTGTGCAAGGGTGTGAGGGGGTGTGTGAGAGATGCAACATGGGTCAGCAAGGGTACAGCGGGGTGTGTGGGAGGTGTGGCACAGGTTGGGTGCACGGGTGTGAGGGAGGCATGGCGAGGCTTGGGGAGGGTGCAAGGGGGTGCGCAAGGATGCAAGGGAGGTGTGCAAGGCTCAGGGATGGTGCAGGGGAGTGTCTGAGTGGCTGACATGAGCGCAGAGGGACTGGGGGGGGTGCATGTGTGGGGGAGACTTACCCCAGCGACTTGTGACCTTCCCTGCTGGCTTCCCCACTGACTTTCTGGGGAAGCCTGCAGGGAAGATTGCAAATGGTGATCACGTGATCACGGGGCGCTGCAACTGGTCGTAAGTGTAAACTGGTTGCCAAGTGCCCAGAACATGATCATGTGACCACGGGGGTGCTGGGGTGGCTGGAACTCTGAGGACCACTTGTAACCACCATTCAGTGCCGTTGTAACATTGAATGGTTGCTGAACAAATGGTCGTAGGTCAAGGACTACCTGTATACAGGTAATCCTTGTTTAGCGATTGCCTCGTTCGCAGTTATGATGGTGATTATATAGTAACTTTGTGACCAATCCTCACATTTATGACCTTCACAGGTCTGTAAAGCAACAAAAAGCTGAAGTAAGATCATAAGCACAGTTGCAGTTTTACTTAGTGACCACTTTTTTAAACAAACAAGTTGCCAGTCCCAATTGTGGTCACTAGACAAGGAATACCTGTAGTGTTCTGCATCCCATCCTCAGTGTCATTGTATGAAAAGTACTGTGTAAGGAAATCAGGTACTGAAAAAGAATGGTGCTGTCTTATACATTGATAATATAGTCACGGAACGATAAAAATATATGTTTTATTCACAGCTTTTTAGGTCAGTATTTTCAATGAAATGCTGACATTGATTAAGGTATCTGCCTTTAATTTCAAGAAGATTGAGATTTAACCCAATATCAATGACAGTTTGGTGTTTAAATGAAGTTATTAATCACAACTTTTTTTCCTTCTAGGCTGAGCGAGAGAAAATTCTGGAGTACAGGAGGCAGGTGCAAAATTTGGTGAATAAATCAAAGAAGATAGTACAGTTGAAACCCCGTAACCCTGATTATAAGACCAATAAGCCCATCATTCTCAGGGCTTTGTGTGACTACAAACAAGATTTGGTAAGAGTCCCATTATTATGGCTCCTTGTGTTAATGCCACACAGGGAGTTCTGTGGCATAAATGTATTTTTGTGGCAAAACTTGCAGGCTGAAGGTGTTCCTCTGGACAAAGACAGTCAAACCATACCATCCACGTATTGGCTAATTCATTTTAGACAATTCAGTTTTGAAGGCTTAGGACAAATTAACCTGTGTCGAAGATTCAGCTAGAGCCTGCTTTAAAACAAGTATGTAGGATGCTAAGATAACTGTTTACTATGTGTCTTAAATGCAACTGCTGTCCATATAAACATCATGTCAAATGTTTCAAAAATTGTAAAAGTGGATTTTATTCAGAACTATAAATTCATAGATCCCTCCTAGCAACTTCTGGAGGCTAGTGAAGAATCATTTGTATGAATGAACTAATTGTTCTAGAGTTAGCAATGATACATTGAGTAGTAGATTATTGTGTTCTACATTAACTATGATTCTAGAAAATGATAAAGGAGTGTAGAACATATTCTAGTAATGCAGCTTTATCAGATCTATATCAGAATGGGAAACATTTTTGCAAGTCCTGTATAATCCTGTACCAGGAGAAGATATTCAAACCTTAACCCCAGAGCTGAAAAAGCCATGATCTTTGAGATGTTTTTGAGCTACAGCTCCCAGCATCTGTCACTGTTGGCCATATTGACGAGCTTTGGGGAGCTGAGCCTTACTCCTTCTAAATCCTTTTTTTTTTTTTAACAAAATGATGGAAGTCAGAAAAAATAGGGTGCTATAGCTTTTTTCCAGCTGCAGTAATGTTTCTTTCTTTTTCACAGAAAACTATGCGCAAAGGAGATGAGTGCATTTTAAAAGACAACAGCGAACGTAGCAAATGGCATGTGACTGGACCAGGAGGGGTAGATATGCTAGTGCCATCTGTTAGTCTCATTATCCCGCCTCCTAATCCATTAGCTGTGGATCTGGCGACCAAGTAAGTTACCAATTGTTGCTTGAACTATAAGGCAAGCCTCCCTAGTGAAAATTCCACCTTTTCCTCATCAAAAGCCAATGAGCAAAATTTGTGATTTTGTCTTGAGTGGGAAAAGTTTGCTTTGGGCTCATAGTATACATATACTTTGGAAATTTACTTTTCCTATGCAGTCATAAGAGCCTGTTGTTTTTCTAAATGAAAGTTGGCTTTTCAGAATTTTTGATGTGTTTCAGTTAGAATGGGAAAGTATCAGACATTTTCAATTACTAAAAAATAAACAGTAATTTAATATTTTCATGTGTTTCCCAGATTGGAGTGATCTGGAGCACTGTTTCTGGATTCAGATTAAATGTCTCTCATAAAGGGTTGTGTGTACAACACACCTTCATTCATCTTTGTAGTTCTTGAATTATGAGCAAGCACTCTCACTCCAGTTACAGAAATGCAGAATCAATACAAGGCCTGTGCAAAGTTACCAATGGAGGCGAGTATGTGTAGCTCAGGGTTGAACTGTGGAGTATTGTTACCCTACTTTACCCTAATACCAACTAGCAGTCAGAAGACATGATGAAAACTCCTTCATCTCACAACACATGGACAGATATCATTTTAACTGGGAAACTGTCAGCATTTTAGACCAAGCAAAATCCAAAAATGCAAGGGAAGCTTGCATTCTTGGAAGCTTGGTATTCAGACAAGGTAGCAATTAACAGACACATAGAGATAAACAGCATCTACACACTATTCAAAAGAGACAAAAGACCAGAGCAGCTCCTCACCAGCTCCTCACCAGCAATTATCACCAAGATAAGTAGAGGTTACCACAGGGCACACAAGCAAGCAGCAAGCAATACCCTAATCAAGGAACTACCAGAGGAACAAAACCAAACCCCTACCCCCACCAACACTGGCAGGGCATGCAAGAGTATATAAACAGAGAGCAAACCCCTCCCATTGCAGCACTGAAGATGTTACCTAGCTGGGTAATGAAACGTTTGCAGGAAAAGAACCAAGCTCA